ACCCTGGCAGCGGGGAGGGGATGGGAGAGAGCAGAGGAACACGCACGCGGTTGAAAGCCTGACATCTTGGAGCCCTTATCTTTGTCCTGCTACTGATTCAGTCCGTGACCTCGGTCAGGTCATTTCCCCCCTGCGTGCGTCAGCTCCCCGCCTGTGAGCAGAAGATTATCTCCTTGCTGGCTTTGCAGAGAGCGAGGAGGGTTGGTGGCCCTGGAAGCGTGGTACTAAGGCACCAGGGGGATGGCCCTCTCAGTCCTGAGCCCGGTCTTTTTGGCCCCTTTTCCCAGGCAGTACTCATGTTTCATCTTTTGTTTTCTTTCCCCTCAGTCATCGATAAGTTTGACTACGTCTTCGCAGAGAATGGCACGGTGCAATACAAGAATGGGCAACTGGTCTCCAAGCAGGTAGGTCCAGCTTCCCCTTGCAGCCATGGCTCCCCTTCCTTGTGCCCTGTGCACCATGGGGAGCAGCGCCTGGCCCCAGGCAAATGGGCAGCCTCTTCTCTTCTCCCCAAATGCCAGATCTGAATGTCCCACTCCTCCAGGTCATGTTCTCGGGTGGGCTTCGCAGGAGGTCAAGCATCTTCCTCATTCTCCCTTCTTCTCCCGCAGGCCATTCAGGACCACTTGGGGGAAGAGCTGCTGCAAGATCTAATCAACTTCTGTCTCAACTACATGGCGCTGCTGAAGCTGCCCAAGAAACGGTAACGGCCCAAGCCTGTGCAAATGGCAGTTGTATCACTGATATCTAGGAAGCTCTGGGCTCCAGAGCTCTCCTAAGAACAGCTGAGCTACTGAGCTTGTCTTGCTCCAGGTTTTATCTTAGCATCTAGAGGCCTTGTGTAGGATCACTGTCCCACCAAGCCAGGTACTGTGGGCAAATAATGGAGAAGGGTCTTTGTTCTGGAGAGTCTGCACTATTTTTTAGCATAACACCTGCTCTTTTGCCACTTGGATTTTCTTCCCTAGGAAGCAGGATACAGCCACTGCATGCATCAGGATACAGCCACTGCGTGCATCTCATTTGGGACAATGGTACCAGCTCGTTACTGGTCGTGGCATCAGGCATCACTGGTGGTATGAGTTTCCAAAGAGATGAACAATGGCTCTTAAGATGGGAGGTCCGGTGCCTGAGCACACAGTTTCACACTGTTTCTAACCCAGTGTTGCTTGGCACTACTGGTCATAGGGCTGGTCCTGCTTTGCCCCGACCATGTGCTCCTGTGTGCTTCCCCTCAGGAGATCCAGCAGTCCCAGGGTGAGTTGGGTTGGTACACGTCCTCTGAAGGAAGACAAGGCCACTGCCAGGAAAGAAAAGGGTAGTTTTCCATTGGATCTGCTCACCCTGTTATCACAGAAATGAGATAACAGATGAGAGGGAACAGATGGCATGAAGGTGGAAGGGGAGAGCAGGAGGACCTCTTTCAGAGGCAACCTGCAATTAAACCAGCCTGGATGCAGAGTCAAACCACCCCTCAGACCACAGTTTCACAAACGCTTGAAGCCAGCTTGAGCAGCTAAGAGTTGCTAAACTGTGTGATCCAGACTAGTTGTCTGATGTGAGTCACCATGTGGCAACACGAGGACCGATGAGAGGGGCCAGGGTGGCTCCTTGCAACAGGACTGCCAGCTGAACGTGCCCCCGAAAGCGTGGGCTGGGACCCAGAACCCTCAAGGCTGTTTGGTTGCCTCATTGCTGTCTGGTTGCCCAACAGTCTGACAAAGTTTCAGCTCCTAAGTGCCTCTGTGGATTTAGGCTTATGGGATTTCTAGCAAAGCAAGGACTTTAACCCACACCTCCCGAGTCTTGGCCTGGGGCATGACCCACCAAACTCATGGCTCTGCAGAGATGCTGCTCCCAGGCTGCAGGCATGGCTGCCTGTGTGTCCGCTCCCTGTGATGTTCTTCACTGTTTCACAAGACAGGAGGTGGAGAGTTTTTTCCCCCAGGCTCAGTGGTAAGCGCTTTATTGCAGAGAAACTGTGAGCAGGGCTGGGAGGGGCATCAGAGGGTTCATGAGCTCAGGACTCCTCAGCCGGACAGGGATGGGGATGTCCCTGCTCCAGCAAGATTTCCACAAGAGTTTCAATGTGTTTTCAAACTGGCAGTGCTACCATCCCCTGTTGTTTCTCCCCCTCCTGTGCACCAGCACTGGTACCTGCCTGACCCCTCCGTGAGCTGTTCCAAGGTGATAAGCCAACAAAACAAGCTGGGTTTGTAGCAAAGAGAAAAGTAGGGGACAGTCTTCTGCCAGCTTCATGCTTTGAACCAGCCCACCAAGGAAGCAGCAGAGCAGTGATCCCAGTGCGAGCTGAGGGTGGAAAGCGGGAACTGGGTCCTGTCTGTGCAAGCTTAGATAAGAGTTGTAGTCAAAGGTGCAGGGAACAAACAGGAGATGCAAAGGCCCTGTGGATCTTATCTGATTTGTGTCCCCCGAGGAGGTCCTGATTGCTCATCAGCCTGCTGCCAGACAGCAGCAAGTTACACTGGCCTGCTGCATCCCACTGCCCCAAGGTACTGCCACCTTCACCCAACTCACTCAACGTTTCTTAAAAGCCTCCAAGGGTGGAGATGCCACAATCTTGTCAGGCAGTTGGTCCAGTCCAGGCAATCGCTGTCCTTGCAGTAATTACAACATTAGAAAACGTTTCCTATCATCTCACCTAAGCCCATTGCTTCCAGCCTCTCCCTGTGTCACACAGGAACCATTATTCCTCTTCTCTTACAATATCTTTTTATAAAACTATGAGACCCTTGGAGTTGTTGATGCCTGGTCTCTGCCTAGCGTGAAGCACCCATGAGTGAGCATGGCTCCCCTCCTCTTGCGTGTCCCTGCAGAAACGGCATGCCTCACTGAGCAGTGAGGAAACCTCTGGAAAGGTTTGTTTTTCTCACCCTGCCCCAGTAACCTTGTGCCCTTGCCCACCCACAGAGGAACGTTCATTGAGTTTCGCAATGGGATGCTGAACATCTCCCCCATTGGACGGAGCTGCACACCAGAGGAGCGAATCGAGTTCTCCGAGCTGGACAAGGTAGACGGGCCAGACTCAAGCTCACCCTCCCCTTTTCTGGTTTTGCACCACCACAGATCTCAGGTCTTACCTGCTTCCCCCTACCCCGAGGAGAAAGGAGCCCAGCTCCAAGCTGTGCACCAGGCCAACACATGTGGCAAGGCGGAGACAGGACTGGGGGTCAGAAAACCCAAGGAGAAACACAGATGAATGAAAGAATTTTACTTCATTGGGGACCACCAATGCAGTAGGGTGGCCAGAAGGATTTCTTGGGCTGTGGGAGAGCCCCAGGGAATAAGGCACTTATTTAACAGGGTGTTTCCTCATTTACAGTAACCAAACATGGCCGAGCAGCTGTCCTCTCTCTCCCACTCTCCGTAACAGAGCTGGAACTAATGGGCTTTCCAGACTGGGACAGCCAGGGTGGATCTGCTGGGCAGGTCTCTGGAGCACTTGGCCCATGCTCACAGCAGTTTCTGCCTGGAGGAGCTTTCTTGGGGTTGAGGGATCAGTTGGACTTGGCAAAGCTGGAGATTTTGGATTATGAACTGGGAAAACTGAAGCAGTTGCATTTCATTGCCAAGGAAGGGACAGGATCTGCTCTCCCGAGGAGCCTGACGGAGCCACCCTGAGCTGGTGGCCTCGTACACAGACACTGGGCAGGACTGGTGAAAGCTGGCTAAAGGGTGTTGCGCTGGGGCTCAGCGCAGGTGGGAAAGGAGCAGAGCAACAAGCCAGAGTTGCCCAGCAGACAGCTTACAGTGGATTCTGGGAGGCTGTCAAGTATTCAAACTTTCCTTCCTGCCCTTTCCTCCTTCTTCTCTGCAGAAAGAGCGGATCCGGGAGAAGTTTGTGGCAGCCTTGCAGAGGGAGTTTGCTGGCAAAGGTCTGCGTTTCTCTCGAGGTAAGTGGAGGGACTTCCCTGGCTTTGCCTTGGCCTCTTTACCGTGTTCCCCGTAAAATGGTGGGAAAGGAGTGAGAATGCCGGCTGTTTCCTCTGGAGGCCTGAGTTGGGTGATGGCTGGAGCTGTGCTCCCCAGGGAGACCCCGGGAAGAGCACAAGGAGCTTCTGTTCCTGGAGAGCAACCGTGGGGGAATCATGTTCATATCTGTGGCAGGGTGACAGCGGAGAATAAACCGTGCTGCAGATGTGCCTCCCTAGGAACCAGCCGGGTTTCTGTCCCATTATGTTATCCCTGCCTGAATTCCAGTTAGCTCTGCTGAGCCTGTCCCTGCCCAGGAGGTCTGTTCTGGCTCAAGTGTCAGCAGCAGCATGGCCAGCAGGGCTCCAGGCACATGCGATCCTCTCTGGGAATGTCGTGGCCTAAGGGAGACAGGAGCCTCATGGGTGTCTCGGCGCTGTGTTTTTTTTCGGGAGGGTCAGCTACAACGGAAATGTCTTTCCTCCTGGGGGAAGAGCTGCCGAGAGGCAAGGAGTTCGCAGCTCCATGCCATGGCCTTTGGCAGGGCCACTTCTTGGGGAGGAAGTACACTCTTACAGTCAGCTTAGTGAAGGTGAGGAACCGAAGGAGGGGCTTGAGCCATCCGGGGGATTTGGCCCTTGAGGAACATGAGGGTGTGTAAGTGGTGGGGCTGAAGCAGAGCAGTGGGTGTGTGTGAAATAAGAAAGTGCCGCATGGCAGCCTAGCCAAAGGGCAAGGAGGTGATGAGGGTGCGAGGTGGGAGGTGACACCCTACTCTTGCACTCAGCGTGGGCCAATGCCAAGAGTCTGGTCCTCCGAGGACTTTCCTTCTGAAAGCCACCCCTTGCCTTCAGTGTCCTGCCAGGGGCATCCTTTAAACTGAAAGAGGGTAGAATCATAGAATGGTTTAGGTTGGAAGGGACCTCAAAGATCATATAGTTCCACCCCCCCTGCCATGGGCAAGGAAACCCTCCACTACACCAGGCTGCCCAAAGCCTCATTCAACCTGGTCTTGAACACTTCCAGAGATGGGGCATCCACAACTTCTCTGGGCAACCTGTTCCAGTACCTCACCACCCTCAGAGTGAAAAATTTCTTCCTTAG